ACAAAGTCTAAATACTCCTGAATTTGACATAAAACTACTTGGTCATTTGCAAATGACCCTGAAGTTTGTGGAAATAAAACAGCCTAAATACACAGGACATGTGGCATGCAGGCCATCGCTCAAGAACATGAGGACCTCAGGGCCAGGCTACACAGACAGAATGTGCACCCTGCTCCTTCCTTCTTGGCCTGTGCGGAGCTCCTCAGATCACGCTCCTGACACCATCCAAAGTCCTAACCCGCACGTTGGTGCTGCCTGCTAAAGAAACATGGCTCTGTATGACAAGTCAGATCATGGCAGAGCTGTAAATGGACAACAGAAACAGAAAGGAGATGGACAAAGAGAGGGACCCCTGGCTCCCTCCCCTTGTTACAGTAAGCATCAATGCCTTCTGACCTCTTAGCAATCAAGGAACAACCAAAAAAGAGACAGACAAGCAACAGTCAGTCCTTCACAAGCTTTCAGAACAAGCCTTTTATGAACATTGAACCTGGCACCCCTGAAGTGTCTGAGGAGTCCATCCCCACAGACCCCAGGTGGGCAGGCCGGGCCGTCCAATGACGTTAAGCACAGCTCTGCCTGTCATCTCATGGCCTCTATGATTTGCTGTCCTCACTCACGCTGCTTCTCTTTAGACCCTCAATATCCAACCAACCTGGATCGACCACAAGCCGTCTCCAGAAGTGGATGGGTCCCACCCCCCACCCCCCAGCTGTACCCTCTGGAAGATGCCCCCAGTGAGAGATTCAAGTCTACCAGGGTCACAAGACATTAAACATGAGCCCCAGGACTGGAACCTAAACTTTCAAACTCCTCAAGCAGGTCTAAGACCTCTTGACAATTTTAAGCCTGTTCCAAGTACAATTCACACATATCCTCTCACTTGATTCTTACAATCCCGAGACTTAATAGAATAAGCATGTAATTATTATTCCCATTTTATAGATGAGGAAAATTAAGATTAAATGAAGTCGAAGGACTAGTCTGAGAATATTTTAAGTCAACTGATTGATGAAAAAACATTTACTAAGTGCCTACTATGTGCCAGGCACAATATTAAGCATTCTGAGAGTACAACTACCAGAGCTCGCAAGTTTCCAAATGCTAACCCGGATCCAAAGATAAAAAAATCCCCCAAGTTCCCAGGATCACAGAATCCAGAACAGTCATTCTGGCAGTCTCAACCTTTTTACCCTATATAGAAATGCAATGAAAAAACAACCCTCTGCAAGCACTTGATGGCTAGAGGAAGGATTAAGCTGGGCTCAGGGCCAGGGGAAGGTACAATTCTACCCCCACAACAAAGACAGTCAGATACCCAGCAGGGCTGATTGCCCTTTCTTGGGCACCAGCAGGATAACGGGGTTCTAAGTTCAAAGGAGTCAACGAACACTTGGACTTGAAATGAAACCTTTTGGGCTCCAATTCTTTCATTAAATTCATCTGCAATTGCAGAAAATAACCACAAGGTGGAGTTAAAGGAGTCAAACTCTACTTTTAAATCCTGGTTTCTTTAAAATCTTCAAAGAATTTAACACTATTAATAGCTCAGTTTTTTAAATGCTTGAAAGTTTGCAAAGCACCTTATACACGGATTATTTGAGCTTTCTACTCATACTGCCTCGCTAATATACTACAATTTTCTGAGTGGAAGAAAATAAGGCATCTCCTTGCTCGTCCCCCAAACATTGTACTTACTGGCTGAGCACCTGATGTATCCACCACAGAGAGCATAAGCTCCTAGAGTTCTAGGGCTGCACCCTTTTGGTCTCTGTACCCCACAAACCAGCCTCGCACACCGTAGGCCCCTAAAATCCTAACAGAAAATACTGTCTCTGAGGCTGTGTGTGTGAAGGCAGGGAGGACAGACAAGAACAGGGTGACAGCAGAGGGCTCAAAGAGATTCCTGGTCTGGCTTAAGGGGGTTGGAGCCAAGATGGCAGATTAAAAGCTGTTACTTGCTTGAGCTCTCCCCCGAACCCCTCCAAACACCTGTAAAAAATGGCTCTAAACAAATTTGAGAGCAGCAGAACCCACAAAAAGACAGAGTGAAACACATTTCCAGCCCAAGACAACCTGGATGGTTGACTGGAAAGGTCTATTGTGCCGGGCTGTGAGAGGAGTGCAGTTCAGAGTGGGCATGAAGGCAAAGACCAAGCCTTAGCAAATCTGGAGCAGGCCTCAGGGTACTGAATCACGGATGGCTGTAGCGGTTTCCAGACTTCTCAACCCACAAACGCTAAGGACAACTTAGAAGGTCAGTAGGAAAGGTCTGTGACCGAGAAGAGAGAGCCCCAGTCCCAGCGCAGCAGGTGCGGCAGCTGCTTCCTGAGCTCTCAGCCCACAGACAGAGGGGGAATCCAATGGCTGATCAGAGTGGGATGGCAGGGATCTCTTTGCTGGTGCTGAGGCAGGATTCTCTTGCTTTGCCTATGCTTAGATCTGGGTCACAGTTCTAGGTGGAGGTCCTGGGGTGAGGAGGAGCGCTGGCGTGGTGGAGAGGGAATTCTCTCACAGTTCCAAGGCAGAAAAGAGTGCTTGAGGTCACTCATAGACCAGAGCACAGGCCAGGGAAGGAGTAAACACCTCATCCTTGACCATACCACCTGAAAATTTACAGGTCCCTAGAAGTATCTCTGAAAACAGCTGCACAAAACCCCTGAAGCTTGGGACAGTACATTCTCCACACTGGAAGCAGACACCTACCTTAACAAAGAGTTTAAAAGTTAAGTAATTGGCTGGGAACATGAGCAAACTGCACAAAAAGAGTCAGACCAGAGATTCCTGGTCCACACCAGGCATACTGGGCACTTCCTCTCTGAACACAGCTAAGTGCAGTCCCTTCCTGAACTGTGCCCCAGGTCTGTCCCACCAGCTCCAGAACTCCCTCTGTCCCCCGTTCCAATGTTGGGGCATCAAACTCATGGCAGATCCCCAGAAAACCCCCCTCACCAAGGCAGCCCAAACCACTTTAAAATGCAACTAGGAAATGTTTAACAAGATAAATAAAAATACATTACAACCCTGACCATATTAACATGTGGGCCTCTAAGTCAACAGGAGGCCTGCACGGGTCCCTTCTCCATCTGCGCTGAACATGACTGCTCTGATCTATACCACACATACAGCAGGACCAGCTGAATCTGCCTAAAATGGATGACTGTTCTGCCCTCCATCAAAGCCTCTTCCATCTGAGGCCAACCCACCTTTCCTAGCTGAGTGCTCTGCCCAAACCCCTTCACTCCAGCTGAACCCAAAGACGCCAGGTGCACCCCTACCCCAATATCCCACTGGCTCCACCTGGGAGTCCTACAGCACACCCTGGGTCACTTATCTGAGACCTAAGTATTGACAACCTCTAAAGTCTCCCAGTGATACCTCACTGAAGTGTGCAGATGACCTGCTGTTCGTTCTCCAAGACCACGGAAGCCAAGCGGCCCCAGCTCTGGCAGGTCCTAGCATGACAGGAAGGCTTGGCGACTGACTATACACCACATCTCCCCTGCAGAGACCAGTCTAGCTAAAGTAAGACAGCTTCATCACCACAGGGCAAGGACTCCTCCCAGAGTAACTCCCCAGCACTGCCGACAGAGGCAAAGGGCAGGAATCTTCACTGGGGAGAGCCTACCCCTCCTGACAATATTATCCATCTTTGAGGTACTGTGCATGTCAGTATCTTTTTCACATATGGATACATGACCATAGGCCACACCTTGTATTTGTACTTCCCCAAACACTGTAACATAATGTCTTTTAGGGGTTCCATAAACACTAGATGTTTTGCTGGGGTTTCCTGCCAAATCCTCTTACCTCCAGTTGGTAACGTCAAGAAATGAGTTATTGGGCCAAGTAAGCCACCCCCTAAAATCAGCCTCACTGCCCCAGACCCTCTTTAACCTACAGTTTCTAGACAAGGGTCCTCTGCAGGCACGCTGGGTCCACAATCCGTCTTCCAGCCAGTGGCTGCTCTCCGAGCACCTCCCCTGTCCCCAAGATGCCTCAGCACGGAGGCTCCTCTCTGGCTCAGGGACAGTACACTAATCCTAGCACTGCTCGGTCCTTAGGAATCACAGAACTCCAGGAAATGCAAAGTGGCAAAAAGCCACCCTCACCCCACTGGGGGATTCCTGCTCAACATGTTTACCAGATTCTAGCAGTAAAAATCACAACTTCACTTTCTTGAGTCAGTTTGTGTTTAGCTCAAGATCATGGAATAAGACAAGACCAAAAATAGAAATAGAAGAGAAGGCCTGTAGGCCTACACTTGGCTTAGGCTTGCTTGGGAGGGAGCGTGAAGGGGACGACAAAAAGGCCCTGTCTGATTCCCAATGTTCAGGGCTCTGAATCAGGAGAAAGGGCTTCAGCATATGATTTGTTTTGTTATTTAAAAAGTTCAGGTGTTCCACTGAAAACTTAAATCCTCCACAGTTTAAGTCAGATACATCAGATCAACAAGGTTAGATTAAAAGCAAAGACACATCACCTGAAAACAAATCTCACTGAAAAGTAATGTAATATTTTCTAACTCGCCAAACTTATTGGGCCCATAAAAGGTACGGCCTCCTACGTGAAAGGAGGGTCCAACAAAGAAAGGGCTACCTGAGGATGTCTCCACTAGAACATCCTATGCACAATCTTACAAATGGGCTGATGTCCCTTCACAGCCCCGGCAATGGGGACAGAATAGATGAGTGCCCCTACTTTAATGTGTCGCTGAAAAGCTCTATGTCAATTAATTCTTGATGCTTTAACCCCACTTTAAAGGTGTTAAGAAACTCTGAAGCAAATTCTTTTGTTAGGCAAATAACTGCTTCTTCCCCAATCAGTTTTTAACGTTCAGATTTTCACAATATTGTACTTTTAAAAAGGAGAGCCCTCCACAGATTATATTGAGGCCCCATCAGGAGTTGGAATCTGGGAACACACACACACACACACACCCCCTTTATGACCATGTATCTAGGCCCAAGGGGGTCACTGAAAATAACGCCAATACTTACTGCAGGTTCTACTTGGCTTCGGTCTGCAATATCGATATGGACAATTTCAACTGTCTTCCACGTGTTAGGATCTAAATTATGTACCTGCAGAAGAAGAAAGCAGTAAGACCTGTGATGATCCATCTGAAGCCAAATGATCTCAAGTACCAAGTTCTCTTTATCTCCATTCTATGTTTCATGGACAATAAAAAACTAATCATGTCACTAATTAAGCTGCTGGTTTTGAAACTTGGTTCCCCTGAAGTCCTCCTGCACTTTGTCCTCAAGTCTCGAAATGGCAAAGGCCATGGAAATGAAATCAGGTTGCCATCGTGACACATTCTTCAAGTGACTCTTTTGGGGACTTCACAGAACTTCAAGGATGTACAAAGTATAATCTTAAAACCAGTGGCTTGGACTAAACTTTCAAGCAGAAAACACTTTTCAAAATGAATCCTAGCTCTCTCAAGCTGGAAGGAGAGACCTGAGCCATCTCGTCTACTCTGAGGCCCAGAAAGCCAAGGAACATCTCACAATGACAGCCCTTCTAGGCCCAGAGTCTCCCACATCTTCATTCCAATGCTTTTGTACCACCACCCCTCCTCCCATCTTAATGAGACTCTATAAAAAAAGTCCCACTTCAGATGAGGGTCCCCAAGAACACACCTATGGGTACAGACTCAGAATGCCGTTATGTCACTGGGTGCTTTCACTAAAATGTGAGGCAGGATCTCGTCACCAGGTAGTGGAATGATCCCGGCCTCTACCTATTTAGTAATCCCATCACATTCATCTAGCCATAGTCACTCATCCCTACAATTCTGCAGAAACAGAACATCAGCACCTGCTCATCACAAACACAGAGGTCTCTCACAAACACTCATCAATCTCTAACAAAAAGTTAATTATTAAATTTCTTTTAGGACTGAGTTTCTTTAGGCTTGCCATCATCAGCTCACAGGATAAGCAGAGACGATTTTCACATGACAGGAACTGGTGTATACAGTCAACCTTGGCGAGACTGGGGGCTGGGTGACTTCTTGGGAGAAGCATCCAGGCATGCCCTGTGGCCTCTGCCGCCTCCTCCCTCATCAGGCCTTTTAGTTATGTGACCAAATATTAACACCTCACCTCCCTCAGGGAGACAGAACAAAAGGGAAGATGAAGGCAAATAAACTTACTGCTTACTAGCATTCTTAGTTTTTACAAAGTGCAGATGAAATTTGGGGCCAAAACAGAGCTGCGGGTTCCCCTAAATCATGAGAAGCCTGGGAGAATGTGTGTTGGACTTGATGTCAGGCTGCCGTAAGGAACACACTTTAGAAAGCTTTCAGGCCATGTAAATGTGAGGGACTCCATAAATTGGGGAAAATCCCCAAGTCCATCCAGGGCTGAAAGCGAACCAAGCCCCGAAGGGCACCTCCCCGCCAGTCACATTGGTGGCATGCCAGCTCTGCTAACAACAAAGCCCTTTACAAACCTTCCCTCACCCTGGCCTCGCAAAGACCCTAATTCCAAGATGAAGCCTATAGGTAGTAGGATGCCCATTTTAAAGATGAGAAAAACAAGGCTCAGAAAGAAAGTGCTTTGCCAGCCTAGAGAACAGAGGCAGAACCAGAGCCCGGGCCATCCTTACCCCCAGGCCAGTATACTAGCAGTTCTGCTCTCCTCCTACCCCCTACCCCTACCCCACCCCCTGCCATAAAAAATACTCCCTGGGGTGGCATTGCTGTTTGACCAAGGGAAAAAGCTGAGACTTACATTTTCTATTGTTCCCAAGTCTGGTTTGTGCCAGGTTTCAATTTTTATGAAGAAGTCGTCTTTCATATATTCGTTCTGTGAAAAATACATCAAAAGGACATGCATTGATCTCACCACTTTACTGGTATTTCCATCTTCTGTTTCATTTCAAAAAAATTCTGTCAACCTAAGCCTCCCTGAGTATAACCAGGAATGGCCTCTGGATAGATCTATGCCTCTGCCACTGAGCCTATAAACTCATCTCATTAGTGCCCAGCCCCACATGAGCAAGAAGGACTTCCCCTTGGATGACCAGCTTCCTACACTGCACAGGCTGAAGCTGTTTTCCAGCCTTTCAGGTCCCCATTTTTCCTGAGGCACATGTGAGGCCTGCATGCCAGGGCCCGGGTCAGGGACTAGGGAGGTAGCTGAAGGCATGGTTGGGAGAAGCCCAAGAGCACCAGGAGGTGAGGGAAGGGTAGGACAGCCATGCAGGAGGAGAAGCCATGCAGCTGTGGGCAGTAACAAGCAGAGGAGAGCAATGGGTGGATAGCAACGTCACAGGGATTAAGCTTTAGAAATCAAAGGAACGTAACATATAATAAATCTGTTTACTCACCGTCACAACTGAGGCACAATGGATCAGCAGGCGAGGAAAGGGGAGAAATTTCAGAATGTATTAATCAGAATAAAAAACAACCCAACCTAATGATTCAATATCACAAACATCATCCTATCTGCACATACAGAATATTTAGGAGCTGAAGTCTCCAGGACACTACTTCCTATAGAAGTACTGAAATTCAGTGCTTGAAAATGTTTTAATTTTTTGAAATCTGCAAACAGCTGATAAAATAAAAATTCAATTCATAAAGATAACTGCAAAAAATTAACTTGAAAATATAAGTCTTTATATGAACTAATGCAAAGTGAAGTGAGCAGGGCCAGGAGAACAGTGTACACAGCAATAGCAGTATTGTACGATGATCAGCTGTGACTCACTTAGCTCTTCTCAGCAATGCAATGATCCAAGACAATTCCAAAGGATTCATGATGAAAAATGCTATCTGCTTTCAGAGAAAGAAGTGATACTGTCTGAATACAGATCAAAGCACACTTCTGAAACTTGCATCTTCTTTTTTTTCTTGGTCTATGTTTTCCTTTGCAGCATGGTTAATATGGAAATATGTTTTGCAAGACTGCACGTGTATAATCTATATCAAATTGCTTGCCTTCTCACGAAGGGGGGAGGAGAGGGGTGGAGGAGAGAATTTGGAACTCAATAGTTTAAAAAACAAACGTTAAAAACTGTTTTTATATGTAATTGGAAAAAATAAAATAAAAATTTTTCACTTAAAAAAATGCAAATCTTAATTTAGGGGGTCATTACAAAACATAAGGGTATGCGAATCTGACATTTCCCCATCATATTACATTACCTGACCAAAGTAACAAGAAATGAGCAATGTTTCTGGTCTGTTTCCCGAATGGGTTCAGTTTATTTCCCATTTGCCTGTTTCTACAGTAGCATCAGTATGAACAAAGCCCTCTACCTGGCACTGGTGGTTGGGAACCTGGCTCCTTCAGACAGTTCAGTTATTATTAGCAATAACAACAAGCCCGCTAAGGAACAGCTTCCATGATCTAGAACCCAAAGTTCTGTGGCTTTAGAGCACTAGTTTTCAAAGGTCCCCAAGACCCTTTCCAAGGGGCTTCTATTTCCACAGTAACACAGAGATGTTTAAATTTCTAAAATGGTTGAAAATGTTGAAAGAGCTAGCCCAACATAAACAAAAGCTTGGAGGGAGGGCTCCAAGAGTTTGAGAACCACTGCCTTAGAGCACGTGGTAGCCCCAGCAGGCTGGTCTAACGTGGCTTACAGACCAATCAGTGGGACAGGGTGAACGTGAGCACTCCAAAGGGTGGTTCTGGCTGCTGGGAGTGAAGCTAGTCACCAAGGTCACAGAACACAGGAACAAAGAAGCAGCTGATGGGGTCCGTGCTTACTTGTTCTACAGTAGGGATATGCATTCCAGGCTTTCTCATGAAATACCAAAGAGCCCTCAGGAGCAAGCATCCTGACAAATCCAGGAACTTTACTGTGAAGAATAAAGCAGTGAACACAATTTTAGCCACCCCATTGATTGCCCATTAGAATCTTTAATCAAAAATAATTATACTAAACAAGTTGTATATAACTAGATTCTATATGACTTTTTTTCCCAATATTAAAGCAATCACATGAAAATATAGGAAAGAAAATATGAAATTAAATGGCATTACCATTAAAAGCACAACGAACAGGAAGATGAGCTCATATAAACAGAAGCAGTTCCGGATTTGAGGTTACCCAGCCCAAAGCGTGATCTCACCCTTCTTACTCAAGGGCCAAGCAAAGGCTACTCCACTGGTAAAATTAATTGTATTAACTTCCTCCCATACTGCAACCACTACTTCAGAGGCATGTCAGAATAACTGAAAGTTGGAATATGAGTACTTCTCCAAGGTGGAAAGTGAACAAAGGTGCTTCTAAGATATTTTTGAGAATCATATGAAATGATAAATGATATGCAGATGACATTACTAAAGTAAACAGTGTGTAGGTCATTCTTAGGTGTTTCCAGGGTCAAAAAGGTCACTTAATCACCATATGAGAAGCTCAAATACTGAAAATACAGCCAGGGTTAGGGGGCAATGAGAGCACAAGAGAAGCACTCAAGAATCCTGGCCGCACACGAGTGGGGAGAGTAGCAGATATCGAAACGTCTAGACACATCATGGTCAGAATGACTCTGCGGATAAAGCTCTACCGCTATTCTCTTCCATCTACATAACTTCCAAGGTGTCCTAAAAACATCCAGAGCCTACATTAAAGTAGGTGAAGATAAAGAATTACCTTAAAAATACAGACAGGAAGAACAGTAAGAGAAGGAAAAAAAAAAAAAGACAAGAGAGAGGACAGGGCTTCAACCTGGGCAGCAGTTGTTAACGGACAACATTTCTCTCCTCATCTTAAAGACAGACATGAACAAGATTGGTCGAGAGGATCTACAATAAGACTCTAGAGATGATAAAACTTAGGAGCAGCCAAGGCATCAATGAGCCTTTCCCTTTGGGTTAAGGGCTGCCTCCACTCTTGGTGAGGAAACCAGAGGGGTAAATACAGAAAGCTCTAGCCGAGGAGAGAGAGGGAGTGGGGAAGGGACATCAGGTCCAGCCCAGCTCACTAAAGCAAGGCACTGAGTACTAGACAGGGGGCAATGGGCTCTATCTCTGGCCAAGCTGAACATGGTGGACGGACATATGAGGAGCTCGATGATGGCAGAAAGCAGAAATCCTTGGGGACTCCCTGCTTTATTCTCCCTCTTTAGCCCTTGGCCTATTAGTATAACCAAAGCTAGTTTAAGGGGCCTTTATCATCCAAGCAAAAGCAGGCAGTGGCTCAAGTTCCTCAAGTTCCATATTACACATGGCAGAATTAAAAAATGAGACCACAAAGACAAACATGTTTACTGATGTCTCCAAATTGGTCTTTCCTTAAAAGGACAAAACTGACAAAGGCTAAATGCTGCCAGGGTTTCTATTCCTTCCAAGTTCATGAGAGGGTCAGAGAAAGGGATATAAGATTTCAAGGAATGGAGGCTGGGGTAATTACTAATGTCAGAGAAGACAGTACATAAAAACCACATGAAAAGAATGTCTAATGGATCCCAGAATCCTGACCCTAGGAAATGCAAGAAGATTCACAGATCAGCAGTGGGGGGCTGCTAGGGTCAGAGGTCAGTGAGTCCAACCCTCTCTCTCATGTCCCATCCCAGGAAAGTGAGGCTCAGAAGTAAAGAGGCTTGCGCAAGGCCACACAGGCAGAGTGGCACACCTGGGATTGGAGGCCAGTGACACTTCATACCACACTGCACTGCCTTCCAACTCAAAAATTCTAGGCCCCTTTCTCAGGCCAAAGAATGAAAACCAGAGCTCCTCAAAACACAGGATGAGATGTCATCAAAGCCTAGCTTAATACCCACAGATATCAACAATTTTTAGCACCCACAAAATACAATAAAAAGCACAACTCAATTTTTCAGAGGGTCAACCTACGAGAAAATTTACAAGATGCCAACTGGCATAATCATTCTTAGATGGAGTCACAAGATAATCATATGGCATTTTCAGGTGATTCCCACAGCATTTTACAAACCTATGAAATGCTGCTGTCCCAAACAAAGCAAAGCAGATGAAGGTCAAGAGACACCAGCAAGAACGTGGTCAATGTGAGGTGGCTCACTGGATAGAAGGCTGGGCTTGGAATAAGGAGGATCGAAGTTCAAATCCAACCTCAGACACTTACTAGTACATGACCTGGACAAGTCACTTAACCTGTTTGCCTCAGAAGTTTCCTCAACTGTAAAATGGGGGTCCTGGAGAAGGAAATGGCAAACACGCTAGTATCTTTGCCAAGAAAACCCCATAAAAATGGAGTCAGGAAGAATCAGATACTTACAACTTAACAACAACGTTCATCCTAATGACAAAAGACAATTCCTTCCCAAACATTTCCCCCCAACACCAAATCCAATTTTGCATTTTGGCTTATCTCATCAAGGCAGAATCTTTTGACATAGCTCTGCTATCTCTTGCTTCTTATTTATCTCAAGGCATAAATCTGAATGTTTTTCTAAGCAATTTCAAGTACATTGACACAGTAACAGGATAAAATTGGTGTGAATTAAATTAAACTTCATATTTTTCCATAAAGTGGTAGATGTTCATTTTTAGGGCTGGTTAGCTCTGCTAATCAAGGCATGGCGCTGATAATGCCAATGGCACAGATTCATTCCCCTGTAGGGGCCACGTTTGTTTGAGAGGTAGGTGCATAATGGGTAGGGTGTTGGAATCTGGAAGAACTGGCTTCAAGTCTCACCCCATAAACTCATTCACTCTTTGACCCTGGGTAAATCACTGAACCTTTCTGCCTCTCAATTTCTTCATCTATAAAATGAAGAAGTTGGACTCTGTGGCTTCTAATCAATTAATCAATCAACAAGCATTTGTTAAGTGCATGCTGTGTGCCAGGCCCTCTGCTGGGGCACCAGAGACAGAAAACCAATGCATTGAACATAACCCATCAGAGAGAAATCTACATTGGAAGGTTCCTTCCAGCTCGAGTTCTATGACTCCACGACCTTCACTGACGCCCACCTAGAGGGCAGTCATGCCACTCGTGCATCTCTGAAACTGCTTAATTATAACCCTTCACTCCTGCATAGCAAACTGAGCAATCCAAAGGGAGTAGAGGGGAAGAATGAGGATTTTTCGTACTCTGGGGCCACTAAAAAGTGACAGTGACCAACCTAAGCCTTCAGATAAAGTGCAGGGCAATCTCCTACTGTCCTACTCAAGCCCACACCCCCTAACACCCATCACGAAAGGCTCTTCCCTGCCCACAAATAAAGTCAACTGGTAGGTGCTCATTACGGGCATGGATGTGCTTATTTCAAGGTGAAGGTTTCTAAAATTCCTCTATGTGAAGAGGAAAGAGTGACAGGCTGAAAGTAGCCCTCAAATACCATCTCTGCCCTCGCCAAGGGGGTCACTGGAATCTCTCTTGGCCTCAGTCTCTTCCAATTTGCTAGACTCTCAATCGCAGAGATATCATCACTAGGTCACCCGTGGTGATCAAGGCTCTCAGTCAGCAACCACCTAGTCTTTCATTTTGGCTACAGAGCACCCTTAAATTACAAAGAAAGTCAATTCTAATCTAAGGATTAAAGGTGTGGGAGAGCACAAGATTTGATGTTCAGCTCCTAGGATGCAGAGCCCAAAACACATGGCAATAATCATTATCTACCATCTCACATCTCATTACTTAATAAGCAAGAGCAGTTTGACCACAATCTCACTTGGAGGGAGTTGATGGGATATGCCATCAGAAATACAAGTAAATGCCCGTATTTACTCTGAACAATCATTCCTCATGAGGAAGGCCCTTTAGCTGGGCATCTAGATAACCTTCATTTCAACCAACAACTGCAAAAAGCACCTGCTCTCAACCTTTTAATTTGACTTGTTAACTAGCAGAAAAATCAATTCCTATAAGCTTCGACATCTTTTCCTGTTTCTATCCTGTCATGGCTGTGCCTGTGAGGAACCTAGGGAAAAATCAGGAGAAAGAAGGAAAAATGGGGAAAAGGAAGACGCGACCTTTGGACTAGACAACCTGGCCCATCCACGTGGGTCTTTCATTACATAAACCAGAAGAGCATCTTCACTGTTTCACTCTCTCGCAAGCACCTCAGGAAAGGAAAAAAACTGGAGGGTGTTCAAGAACAGGTCACAGAGATGATGAATAAGGGGCTGGTTTACAAGTTCAGTGGCTAAGTATGCATAACTTGGCTCATTAAGGAAGATGTGAAAAACAAAGTACAAAGAAGAAATGGGCATAAAGAAAATAACCAGGCAAAAAAAAAAGAAAAAGAAGGAAACATTAAATTGTATTTAATACAGACATTATTGATACCAGTGGACCTCTCATTGAGTGAGCTCTCTCCCAGGTACTAGGTAAAATGGGGGCAGCTTTCTGTGTGGTCAAGAAGAGAATCATGGATTCATTCCAGAGGACAGCAAGAAGCAGGTGAGATGAGTTAGTTTTGGAGTACCCCTTGATTCGGCATTCTTAATGTCAAAGAAAATGACTATCATCAAGATTTTTTTTTTTGCCTTCTAGAAAATCATGTGGACTTCTTTCCTTTTTTTTATTAGAATCCTTTAGCTACTAGTCACGTTCAAAACGTTATTTTTGCAAATTGTGAAGTAAAGAACAGGCTGAAGTGATACACCATATATCAAGATCTCTAGTAACATAATGGGTAGAATTCAATTCATGAAAATTTACATGAGCTTTTTCAGTAAATGATTCACAAAACATTAACAGAAAAGTAAAATTATATATTTTCATGACGAACACAAACATCCAGAGACCCAAATTAACCATTATTTACCTGTGAGATGTGTATAACCAGAATAGATCTTAATTTGTGTACTTGCTAATTTTATTATAACTTCCTGATTATATTCTTAAAAAAAAAAAAACTTTCCCCCAATCAAGTAGCACTATTCGTTATATGAGAAAAACAGAGATTTCCTTCAAGGTTCGTTCTATTTTAAATAAACACCCACTATAATCTATTTTTTTTTTTTAAGGAATGTCCACTGTGTAAGAAGACAAGTTATACCACGGAAAGAACATAGGCCTGACAGTCAGGAAATGTGGCCCTGGGCCCATCTCAGCCATACCTATCCATGGCCTCTCTCACTAACAAATGGGAGAGGCTGGAATGACAACCCTGCAGGCAACAACCATGACTACAAGCCTTCTATCCTAGGCACTAAAGGGCATTTCTTCTTGGGGAAATGTCAAGTCTCACGGTCCTTCAAAGCTTCACATGCACCAGTTCTACTGCTTAGCTAATACCCACAACCCAACGCACCAGAGACCTTCTTTGAGGTCCTGTCACCTTCCCGGAAGCCCCTGCAGCACCTGGCCCTTAATTTTGCTCTGTGCTGGCCACCTCCTGTTCTGATCACACACTTACCAGTTGGAATTCTTCAATAAATCATGCAAGACAAGGCAGCAGAAACAGAGGGATAGGCCCACCCTGCACTGCTGAAATTGGAGGAAATCTCCAAGTGGGAGGAAGTCACAACATGCCTGCACATGCCTAAGGAGCCAGCTGAGGAGGCTCGCTGTTCCAGATAGCTACTGAGAGTGAGGGCCTTGCTTACCTCTTTAAGTGGTAAATCTTGTGTGTATACTGCCCCTTCTCTCCATCCTTCTCATAAGGTTCATTCGTTAAGACTTCAATGCCTTCTCCACCGCCTGTTTCATTTTTACTGGCTTCAGCCACAGAGTAAAGTTGTCCAACCTGGTACTGAAATTTCAAAAAACAAAGAATTTCCATCTGAAATATACATGTAACATAAGTCCTCTATGATCAAAACTCTTCATGTATTTATATACATGCAAATGTACGTGCGTCTGTGTGTGCTCTTGGGCATGTGTATACACACACAAAAACGGATAGACACTAAAACTGTGATTTCAGCATAAGTACAGGGCAGCGGTGTCAAACACAAAGAAAAATGGGGGCCCTCTGATCTAGACACAAGGATCCTGTGGGGCCACATAAAATGAGTTTTAAAATGCTTTTTCTTTTTTAATGTCCTATGTTTTATTGTTTTTTTTTTTAATTTTTATTTTGTTAAACATTGCCCAACTACCTGTTAACCTGGTCTGGGCTACAGCTATATGTCTGACACCTCTGGCAGAGGAAATTCCCAGACAAGGCAACTCCAGGGAAGCCTCATCCCTTCTCTGCAACCCTCCTCATGTCCAGAGCTCAGGGTCACCAGGCCAGCAGGCCTTGAACACAAGTCTTCCTAAGTCAGAGGCCAGTTTTGGATCAAGCAAGTCATGCCTCCCCTTTAGAAAATTATTCGTTGAATAATAATTTAAAAACAAAAAGTATCTAAATAACAGAAGGAAGAAAAGCAGCCTAAAAAGAAGCTGAACTAAAAAAGGGTACTGAGATGAGGCCCTTCCCCTCTTCCCCCACCTCATGGCAGTTGCTGAGACTTAACCATTTTTCCTTTGCAGGGTGAGAGTTGGGACAGATATGGAAAAAGTGAAAAAAAGACTGAGGTAACAATAAGAAACAACAACTGGTGAAAAAATAACCATTACAGCCTAGATTTTATCAATAACTTAAAATGCCACTAACAGAACTAACAATGGGGGGTCTGGGGGGGGCCTGGGCAGGAAGTGGCAGGCTCTATTTCACAGGCTGGCCTAATGAACAGCTGTGCCTGGAAGAATGCTATCTACCAAAACATACTATCACAACCTTACTGGACCTTGCCTTACACAACAGGAGTTAATTTAACCTGAGGAACACTTATTAAGCACCTGTATCATATAGCAGGCTCCCGGGGTACTAGGACAAAAGTCAAACACAATCCCTCCCTCCTGGAGCCTATAACTATCCAGGCAGACAATGTGTCCACACGGGAAAGAGCAAATGTTTCTCAAAAAGCATCAAAAAGATTTCTGAAAGAAACTGAAGATTTCAGAGGAGCTGGATTTCTTTCCCCAAGTTAAAAAGCTACTCCTTCGAAAGTCAAAGACAACAAATGCCAAAACCCCCATGTCTTTTCTATCGCACGTTTCACAAACTGTAGACATAGGGTTTAGCAGCCAAAACTTAATTATGGGTAAAATAAGCCTTGGTCAGGAACACAGCAAGAATTCGATTTCTGCACAGAACGACTGAGACCACTCTCCCAAGAGAGACTGACTGGGTGAAGTGGTGAACAGAGGTCCCACCTCAGTCAGGGTCCAAAGTCCTGCCCCTGCTCCAACTGGCTTGGCCGGGGACCTTGCGTCTCAAGGTCCAGAGAGAACAAGACTTTAAAGCCGAAGGTCACTGGAGGGGGAGTTTCTCCCCTCACGGGCAGCTGTGCACACTGGTGAAGTCACAGGTCTTGTCAGAAATAAAGAGATAACCAAAGTAAGCCAACCCAAGGCCTCTCTTCCTCCGGTTCACATTTTTATCCACACCACAGACAAAGGTACAGCACTATGGCACAAGGGAAATCTGGCTGAGCAGCAACAAAGACTACGGGAAGGACGGAAGTTCAAGGAGCCACGATCTCCATATAGAAAGGTAAAAGGGTCAGCAGGGTCGCTAAAAATGCCCAAGAGATCTCCTGCTGCATCAATGGCCTGAGACATGGGCATCATCTGAATGCAACCCTATGCTCTTCCTATCCTTTCACTGGGCAAGCCCTCACGGCTCATGTGCCGGCTCCGCGCTGGACGCCGGGGACAGAGAGGCCAGCCAGAAAGTCCTTATTCTCAGGAAGCTTTCATTCAGGGGTGCGCAGTTTGGAGAAGAGAACACATACAGAAAAGTTCACTACAAAACACAGGCAAAGTTAATGGAAGGGGGCCCTGTCAGGGAGGCCCTGGAGCCCAGCCTGAAAGGAAGCCCAGGGTTCAAGGAGTGAAGGCATTCTAGGCCGGGGGCAGCCTGCGCAAGGGGACAGACAAGGGGATGGAACATCACGCCCAGGAAAAGCAAGGAGATCTTTTGGTCAGAACCAGCGCGCCAGGAAGAGGAAGCAAGACACAAGGAACCTGAAAGAGAGGCCTGGAGCCAGAGAGGAAAGGCACTGAAGCCTTCTGCCCAATGAAGGGCCTTTCTCAGGCCCCACACTTTCAGGATCCCAATTTGGCAGCTGGGCTGAAGAGAGCAAAGACCAGAGGTAAGGAGACCAATCAGGAAGTTATTCCCATAGTCCAGCAAAGAGAGGATGAAGCCCTGAACAAGGAGGGTGGTTCTGGGAGCTGGCACAAGCAAAGGCTGAGTGCCAAACTATTAAAAGTTAATTTTAACCATATTAGATGGACAACTTGCTAAAATAAATCACGCGTTTCCTCACCTTAGAAAACAAGTAATATAAAAATGTAACCTATACGAAGATCAATTGCACAGTAACACTCTTAGCGGGGCTGCTGGATATGGGGGCTCCAGCCTAAACAAGCCAAGGCTGCTCGGATGTGTGAGCCGCCCTCAGCTCTGTCTCCTGCTGCCAACGGCTGCTTCTTGCTACTGTCAATGTGATTGTTGCTAGAAGGCCCTCCCTCTCCCTTCTTCTAATCTGCAGCTTCTCCACTCTGGGGTCAGAAGCCAAAAAACAGATACAGTTACCCCTCTACATGATGACTTTCCCCAACATGGTTTCAACGTATCACGGGTCAGCTTAAGAAATTAAATGGGAATGGGGAGTTTTGCAGAAGCCGCAGACGACACAGAACCTGTGGCCAAATACTTAGCCCAAAGTACTGTAAACACCCCATAAAAGGAAAAGAAAAAATTCCAACTTCTTCTCTGGTACAAAAGAAGGGCCAAAAAATTTTATACAGATTTTCCAGATGGCGGGGGTACTGTACCCCTAACCCCCACAATGTGGAAAGGACAACTGTACTGTCAAAATTATGTTTAAAAAGTAGACAGGCCAACCCAGTAAAATCCTCTAAGGGGGGAGCTAGGTGGCCCTGGAGTCAGGAGAACCCGAGTTCAAATCCAGTCTCAGACCAGACACTTGACACTTAACTAGCTGTGTGACCCTGGGAAAGTCACTTAACTCCAATTGCCTTAAAAAAAAAAGTAGACAGGCCAACACTGTACTAGAAATGCTGGCTATAGCAATAAAAGAAGAAAAAGAAACTGAAGGAATGAGAACAGGCAACAAGGAAACAAAACTATCACTCTTTGTAGATGATATGATGGTATGTGTAAAGAATCCTAGAGAATCAAGTAAAAAACTAGTTAAAATAATTAACAACTCCAGCAAAGTAGCAGGATACAAAATAAACTCACATAAATCATCAGTCTGTCTATATATTACCAGCAAAGTTCAGTAGAAAGAGACAGAAAGAGAAATTCCACCTAAAAACTATATATAATATAAAATACTTAGGCATCTACCTGGCAGGACAAACCCAGAAACTATGTATATGACACAATGACAAAACACTTCTCACACAAACAGAGCTAAACAATTGGAGAAATATTAATTGTTCATGGGGAGGCTGTGTCAATATAATAAAAATGACAATTCTACCAAAACTGATTTACTTATTCAGTGCTATACCAATTAAACTACCAAAAAGTTATATTATAGGGCTAGAAAAAAATAACAAGATCCATCTGGAAGAACAAAAAAAAGGTCAAGAGTTTCAAGAGAATCAAAGAAAAAATGTGAAGGAAAGTGGCCTAGCTCTATCAGATCTCAAACAGTATTACAAAGTAGTAATCATCAAAACAATCTGGTACTGCCTAAGAAATAGAGTGGTGGATCAGTGGAATAGATTAGGTACACAAAACAGTAGTAAATGGCCATAGTAATCTAATGTTTGATAAACCCAAAGATCCAAGCTTTTGGAACAAAAATTTACTATTTGACATAACTGCTGGGAAAACTGAAAAGCGGTTTGACAGAACTAGGTATAGACTAACATCTCAACAGCTCAAAATGAGTACATGATTTAGACATGAAGGGTGATACCACAAGCAAATTAGGGAACATGGAATAGCTCACCTGTCAGATCTATGAAGAAGGGAAGAATTTATGACCAAACAAGAGAAAGAGAGCATTACAGGAGGTAAAATGGATAATTTTGATTACATCAAATTAAAAAGCTTTTGCACAAACAAAATCAATGCAGGCAAGATTAGAAAGAAAGCAGAAAACTCAGGCAAGCTTCTGATACAGGCCTTATGATACAGAGAACTGAAGTCAAATTTATAAAATGAGTCATTCCCCAGTTGACAAATAGTCAAAGGATATGAACTAGCAGTTTTCAGAAGAAATCAAAGCTATACTTATAGTCATGGGAAAAAAATGTAAATCATTATTGATTAGAGAAATTCAAATTAAAACAACTCTGAGGTACCACCTCATACCTATCAGATTGGCTAATATGACAGAAAAGGAAAATGACAAATACTGAAGGGGATGTGGAAAAATAGGAACACTAAAGTACTGCTGGTGGAATTGTGAACTGATCCAAGGATTCCGGAGAACAATTTGGAACTATGCCCCAAGGGCTATAAAACCATGCGTACTCTTTGACCGAGCAACTACTAGGCCTGTATCCCAAAGAGATCAAAGGAAAAGGAAAAGGACCTATTTGTCCAACACTATGTATAGACACTCTCTTTGTGGTGGCAAAGAATTGGAAGCTGAGGAGAAGCCCATCAATTGGGAAATGGCTGAACAAGTTATGGTATATGATTGTGAGGGTACTGTTGTGCTAAAAAGAAATGATGAGCAGGATGGTTTCAGGAAAACCTGGAAGATTTATATG